CGGCGGCGGCGGCGGCGGCGGCGGCGGCGGCGGCGGCGGCGCACGCCTTTAATCCCAGCACTTGGTAGAAGAGCTAGGTAGATCTCTGTGTGTTCAGGGATACAGCCAGCATTGGAGACACACGCCTTTAAGACCTGGAGGGCTATACATACAGGCAGTGACGAGGCAGTCACGTGTTTGGGTTTACAACCAATGAGAAGGCAGAACAGAAAGACTATGTAAAGACAAACACACAGGAAGTAGGTCTCTTTCGGAGAGGTAGGAGCACTGCAGGAGCAAGGGTAAGGTTTTAGCTCTGAGCTCTGACCTCTTGGGTTTCTCTTTTACATTGGTTCTGTGTTTCTTATTTAATAAGACGGTTGGTTACATCTACAACCACCACCACCACCACCACCACCACCACCACCACAACCACCACCATCACTGCCACCACCACCACCAGTGTCACCGACAACCATCATCACCAACACCACCAACACCATCATCACCACCATCACCACCATCACCACCACAGCCACCACCACCATTATCACTATCACTACAACCACCATCACCACCAACACCACCATCACCACCACCACCACCACCACCATCATCACCAGAGGGTCAAACTGCATATCAGAGTTGAGTTCCAAGAGTGGGTTTCACTGGAGACTGAATGACAGCAGACAGATAGACAGCAAGTCCAAACAGGTAAATGGACAGATGGGCAGATGGCAATTTAAGTAGGCTACATTAATGGGAGTGGGTCATGCTGAGCTGACCTCTTGAGTCAGTAGGGAGTTCCCTGACTGTTAGTGTCTTGACACACAAGCCAGGTGACACATGAGGAGCTTGAGAATTTGGTGGGAACTCTTCTGCCACAGTGTCAAGTGCCCCTCTCTTTGTGGTCTAGGTGAGAAAACAGCACTCTTCCTCAGTCTGATGTGTCCAGTGAGTTCTTGGACCTGGCTTCCCTGATGTCATTTACTGTACTGTGTACATTCACAGTCCCAATTACTTTGTATGTTTATAGCATGGTACCCTTTCTGTTTCCAGGAATGTGTTAGCTGTCAGCCTGGGTCAGCCTGGGTCAGCCTGGGTCAGCCTGGGTCAGCCTGGGTCAGCCTGGGTCAGCCTGGGTCTTTGGGGAGTGCAGGATAGATGGGCCTGTTCACCTGCCCACCAGGTGTGCAGGCATCCTCCATCTTCAGCATGGAGGCAAAAGCTACCCATAAAAGAGAGTCTCTCAGAGCAAGACAGAACCTGGTCACAGATGAAGAAAAGTAGGAGCATACATCTCAAATAAGATTTAAAAACTGGCAATAAGTTATGAAAAATTGAAAATATATGTACACATGGACTTTGGTGGCTTGTCTTTGTGCAGTGCTGAGACCCGAACCCAGGGCCTCAAGCACACTGTGTGCAAGTCTTCTGTCACTGAGCTATGGCCCTCATCCTTTAGCATTTTCAAATATGATGAATACAAAATGCTGTGTATGGCATTGCCTTGCATATATATATATATTTGCATAACAAGCTCTTAAATTTTAATTGCATAAAGTGCAATCTAAGTATGTTATTGCGAAGAAAATCATACAAACCGAAACTTTAAAAAATATTTAAAGTGAATAAAAATGATATTTTAAGAAAAATATTTTTCTAAAGAAAAGCAAGAGCAATAGGGTTGAACACTGTAAACTAGATTTTTGCTGTCTGCTCCATTCATAGGTTGAAGCCCTAACCCTCAGACTGACTGTGTTCTGCAATACGGTTATTGTAGAAAAAAGGACCATAAAATGAGAACACAAAAAACTGGGCTCTGAAAACACCGTCTTCTGGACATAACAGAACTGCCTCACTCATGAACTCCTTAACAGCTGCGATTGCCAGCACCAGATCAAGCCAGTCAGCATTCTAGCGTGTAGTGGGGAAGCCTCCTA